TGACTCAAAGGCATTTCAGTTCTCTAAATTAAGTTTTTGACGTTTTTATAGTGTCAATATTTCGGTTTGGTATGTTGAGTTTTATTGATACTATGTCTGAGTTTAGCTATGAGTTACAAATGTTTAAATGATTCTTACACTTAAACTGTTTGAACTATATTTATTATTGATCCCCTTTTTCATACATTTTATATTCGGTATTTGAGTTGTCTATTTCAGGAAACAAGTACTAAAACTGAAATGAGAATTTTGTTCAAAACAGATTTAAGTTTAAGTCATTTTTGAGTCTGTAATTTTCATTTAATTACTACCTTGACTTATATTGTAGTTTTGTCACAGAATGCCAAATGGAGAGTTTGTTAGGTTTTAGATTATTTGTAATTGGCAATTTTGTAAACAAAATGAGTGAAATTGACATATTGTAAAAGTTCATGTAGTAATGTTCAAATACGTTGAAAATGGGGTTTTTAGGTTTAGAGTTCGAAACAAAAAGAGAAAAACGACGTTGATTTTCGCTAGACTATTGTCAATGCTTGGCTCGAGCTACAAAAGCAGAAACCTTTTTGCTGGACTGTCCCTCCTACTTCGCTCGAGCCACAGTCCATCGCTCGACTATCGCTGAGCTATCGCTCGAGCGACAGCTTTATTCGGAAATTTTTATTTCGCGTTTTGAAGGCTGTTTTCATGACCCATTCGTTTCTTTAACCTACCTATAAATACCAAAACATATTTGAACGTGTTTTTAGAGGCTGAACATTGAGAGAGCTACATCTGTTGAAGATTCATTCAATTCCTACTTTCAACCTTCATCTTGTGAGATTGTTTTGGTGAGAAAAACATTTATTCCATAATCCAAATACCGAATTGCTTTTCCTCTATATCTGATCAGAGTTTTGAAAAGAAGAGAAGTTTGACTGGAGTTCCAGTCTGTGAAGAACGCGGTGTTCTTTGTGGATCTACAGGAGATAAACAATTTCATAAAGTTGGGAGTTGCTACATGAGAGCAGAATCCAGAAGAGATTTGAAAACTGCAGTTGGGAGTGCTGCGGAGCATAGAATCCAGAAAAACTGTTGGAATTACAGGTAGTAGATAAGACAGTACGTGTCGTCGTCTAGGCTGGTAGACTGTAAGTTACATATCGTTTATAATGGATTGTTGACTGGCAAAGTGCTCGAAATTTTTTCCAGTTGGGTTTCTCCGTGATCATTTTGGTGTTGATTTATTGCTTTCGTTANTTGTTTATAGTGGATTGCCTGGCAAAGTACCAGGATTTTTTCCCAATTGGGTTTCTCCGTAATTACTCTGGTGTTGATTTATTGCTTTCGTTATTTGAGTGAACATATAAATTGCGGTATTCAAACTTATTGTTAAAATGACCTGCTTGTTCAATTATCTAGATTAGATTTAAAAAATAACTTGTTGCTATTTAGTTCGTAAAATATTTTTAATTTCGCATATAATACTTATTCACCTCTCTCTAGGTATTCTTAGAATCGAACTGTGTAACTTTCAGAATTTATAAAAAAAAAAAAAAAAGGAATTTTAAAAAATAGGACCAAAGATAGACTTAGAAACGATTATCATAAGTAACAGTGCGTCAGTGCCTATTTCACTTTATTGAATAATATAACAATAGTCAAACTCGCACGTAGGCAAATAATCATAATAAATTTAACCACGTGTCATTTTCGTGTTAGGCTAAGTAAATTAGTTTAACAACCAAAGCTTGACTTTAGTTTCACTCGTTATATTTTTTCTCTCGTTTTGTTGGCATATTTGTTTATTTCAAATATAAAGATTGATTGCATAAAACTGTTCAAATGAAGCCGTATATGCTGAGATCACCTCTAATTGGGCATCAAGTTCTCAAAATTATATTAGTATAAACTATATGGAGTCTGTCCTATCATTGAATTTGACTAATAAATTTGACTAATAATCACGGTCCTCAACTTGTGATAATTTATCGGTTTAGATCTATTAGGACCTTCATTGGGATATGTTTGGATGTGGGTATAAGGATTTTAAAAGTTTTGAATATATCTCACTTTTGGAATCTTAACCAAATCGAATTGCTCGTTGGAGTTTAATGGGCTCTGATACCATATTAAGAATTGAGGTTTCATCTTAAAAAATCAACATTATTAAGAGGAGTAATGCAATCCTTTATAAATTGGTTTGTATTTATATCTTTATTAAATGTGGGATTCTATCCCTTAACATTCTCTTCTATTGTTATGGAACAAACAAGATACCAGAATTGCTATGATACCACTTATTATGAATTTGGATCGCAAGATAATGATGATAATGAAATAAATAAGAAGAAAATAACACTAAGATTTACGTGGAAGGATTAGAGATACAATGATAATAATTTCTAAAACTGTATGGATACAATTGTTATTCACTAATAAACTTATCATTTACAACGGTTTTCAATAATTAAAATACAGTCTACTTATATTATTTGGTCCAAAATTCACTATTACATAAAGATTCAGCAGACAATAAAATTAAATTACATCAGACATCATTCTGGAAAAAATTTGGCAGTTTAAACTTTAAGTTAGGCTTCTCATCTTCAAAACCTTCACCTCGATATAAGTAATTGGATTTTGCTACTTGTACATAAAAATGTGATGTCGAGGGAAAAAATTGGATTAAAAAAATAATTGGGTTTTTACAAATGGTAGAGTTAAATAATTCTCAAGTCTTGAGAAGGTATCATAGCAAGCTCAGCAAGGTGGTCGAGAACCAATTAACACAATGAAGAAACCAAAAATTAATCTATTAAAAATATTGTCGTAATATTATTCAAAAAAAAAGGCTTGTGCGTGGAAATGAAACAGCGGGTGAAAATTTTTCGTCTTTTTTTTTTCTCCGTTATGACTTGTGCATTGGAAAATAGGCAATGTTTGAATTTCTAGAAATTATAAGCTGTTGAAAAATATAGTGATACTTATCTAAGAAAATGAAAGTCTCCCTATAAAATTTTCAAGCAAAAACTATAACATTTATCTAGAAAGTTTAGAAGGCGTGCCTCCTGACAAAGGGGGTTGCTGTGATCAGGCTCGGACGACTGTTTACCAAAAGCACAAGTCTCCTAAGTTGTTAACTAAAATTACATGCCTTTAAGACACCTCTTAACGTGTAGGTTGAATTTATTTATTTAATTTTTTTTTACCGAACGCAAGCACAATTTTTAACAAATTAACAAGATGAGACTTGAACTTAAGAATTTCGTTTGACTTTAATACTATGTAAATCGTCTCATTTAAAAATTAAAGTTGTTAGATAAGATCACACATATTCATTCAATTAGTTACATAAACACGTATTACATTTTGATCTTGATTGATAATAGTATTTGTGTCTACTGCTGTTTTACCGATCTGTCTGTATTATAACATTAATTTGTTGTATGTGAACAAATTTTGACATTTGTTTTACCTAATAGATTCACTTTTTATTATTTTAAGAGTTCTCTTCTAGAAAAAGAATAATACCTTTGACTTGTAGACTAGGAGGAAATAGTTTCTATTTTTCAATTTTTATAGGGAGAATTTAGATATCAAATAATTTTACTGAAATAATATTAAAAAAAGAGAGAAAAATTATTATTTTTATATTTTATAAGGAAAATTTAGATATTAAACAATTTGACTAATATATTGTCACGAGAATGAATCTCTCATTATCTACATGTATGCGATTATTAAGATTTGAGGTTCCATCTTAAAAGGTCAACCTTGTTAAGATGAGTAATCGATGTGGGATTCTATCCCTTAACATGTTCCCGCAAGATGTTGGCTCGTTTGAGCAGATCAATTTTCAAATCCGTATGCTCACTTTTGTAGTCTTAACATGATCGAATTGCTCGTTATAACTTAATGAGCTATGATACCATATTAAGATTTGAGATTCCATCTTAAAAAGTCAACCTTGTTAGGAGGAGTAACTCAATTATTTATAAGTTAATTTATGTTTACATCTTTATTCGATGTGTGATTCTATCTCTTAACAGTAAGTAATGTATTATTACGAAATTTGCTAGTTTTTAGTGCTGGTAACTAACTTGTGTGCCTATTTTTGCAAGTGGATATGCCATACGAGTGTGTTATCCTTGTAGACACAAAACAACATCTATATTATATTAAATATCTCATCAATTGAGAATCATTTTTGGAAGATTTTAACTCTACTACAATTCAATTATTTTAATATTATCTTACTTTTCGTTTTTCAATATTTAATAAATATTACAATATCCTTATCAAGTATACATTTCATATTATTAATTTTCAATTAATTAATATTCACATTAATTTAGAGTCAATGAATCTTAACTGGATCAATGAATCTAGAGTTATTAACTTATTTCTATTCATGTATTTAGGAATTTTGATGTGTTGAACTTCATGTATTAACAATTCATTCTTACGTACTAAATATAGTATAAAAATGTTGTTCGTTTGTAGTATTTCATAATCACAAAAAATTTGAATCATAGAAGTTGAGTTTTGAAATTACAATTTTCTTCTATTAAATTTCTATCCTAAATTTTATTTCATTTAGTTCGTTTGACACTCATCAAATCATTCCAACAAATTGGTATTA